GAACCGAAGTAGTGATAGGAGGAAGCTGAAAGTAAGGCAAACGTTCAAAAAAATAAACATGACGGGAGACATAAAGATGACAGGAAACAGGGTCATAGCACCGATAGCCTTTCTAAGTAGGACTATAACTTAAAAAGACACAGAGGACAGACCGGACCGGGTACTAAGTTTGGTCTGATCTTTACGGGAAAGAAGGACAAAATAGGCAGACCCAAACACACGAAGGAAAGAGTAATTAAGAATTTGGGAGAACAAAGCCTCATAAAGAGACTGATCAGAAAGAAGAGAAGTAGGCATGCGGTTGAGAAGAAAAGCAGCAGTAAGAACTCTCTTCCAAAAACGGAGCCGAAACTAAGGCAGAGAAAAAAAGAGACCTAACTGTCTCAAAGAGATGATAGTGTTTACGCTCGGCTCGACCATTTTGGACAGGTGAATCTATACAGGAAGTTTGGTAAATGGTACCCAAATTAGCCAAATACTCACAGAACTCATTTTTAAAATATTTCCCACCCAAGTCCGACGGTAATACTTTCATTGTAGACCCAAACTGAGTAGTAATCATAGACTGAAAAGTACGGTATATATGATAGCAATCGACTTATGAGTCATGAGATAAACTCAAGTATAACGGGTGCAGTCGTCAACAAATGACATATAGTATGTAAAACCCCCTTTGGTGAGAACAAGTGAACAGCCCCAAACATCAGTATGAACTAAAAAAAACGGTGTATCAAATATAAAAGTAATTTTACGAAAAGATAGGCTGTCATTTTGGTAAGTTTACACCCCTAACATTTAGTAAGTTCACTAGGAGAAACTTTACCCAATATACCTTATTGAGCTAAATACCTAAGCGGTCAACAGACAAATGCCCTAATCTAGAATGCCACAAGTAGAAAAGACTAGACAGAGAATCTAACTAAAAAGATGAAAAGGCAGTCGGAGAGGTTGTCATAGGCAAATGCAAGCTCTCTACCACATAGAGGTCTCCAACTCTACGGCCAGTCACAATCTGCAGCTTGGACATCCAATCTTGCACATAAAAGATAGAAGAATAAAGGATAACATCAAAACCGGAGGCATCAAGTTGCCTGATAGATAATAAACTGACAGATAACTGAGGAATATAAAAGACAGATGGAATAGAGACAGCAGACATAACAGACGATAAGACAAACCCAACAGATATAACAAACATACCAGACCCATTAGTAGTATTAACAGTAATAGGAAGAAAAAGGGGAGTACAAAAGTAAGAAGAAATAGAGAGTCATGTGATGAGAGGCACCAAAGTCAAAAATCCAAACAGACGAAGAGATACCTGAAGAAGACCCAAGCAAACCTAAGTAAAAAGAGGAAACAATAGAGGCAAACTGGGATGGTTGGGAGGTAAACAGTATATGCTGAAGCTAGCTAATCTGAGCACTCAAAGAAGCCAGGTTAGGATTAGGAGCCGGAGCAGATGCAGTAGAACCGGCGAGAGGCTGAAAAATATTCGAAAGAGGAGCGCAAAACTAGATCGGAAACTGCTGAGAAGACGAGACAGACAAACATCTCTTCTTGGGACAATGATACTTCCAATGACCCATCTGATGGAAAAAGGCCCACTTATCAGAAGCCAGAGGCATCATAGTAACCAAAAAACTGAGCAGTTCAAGTGCAATCAAACAAAATAGCCAAACTAGGGGTTCAAGTGTAATAATCAAAATTTGAGGGGTCAAACTATAATAATAAGGAACTTGATAAGTCCAAACAAGAATAAAAGAGAACTGGGTCAACCAAATTTTAGAATCAGGTCACAACTAAGAGAGATGTCACAATGGATCGACTTCGAACCACACAGAGAGAGACAAGAGTCGAAGTCGACTCTGGAGCAGTCGACACAGAGCAAAGGATCGAAGTCGAAGCTAATCGAGAGGAACAAGGGCAGACAGCTCTTCGATCGTGCGAATCGAAGCAAGAGAGAACTAGGGATGCAACAAAACGAGTTAGAGGCAACTCACGAACCAAAACCAAAACCAGAGAGGAAGGGTTACGATCGCGACTTCCTCTCTGGGGTTGATAGCAATTGAAGTCCGAATCAGAGAAAGAGGCGCAAGCTTCAAACAACAAACCAGAAATTCCACCAGAATAATCGCGAATCAAGAGAGAGAATAAGCTCAATCAATTCGTGATTCAAAAACCAGAGAAAGAGTTGGTGAATCAAGCAGTTAGGGCTTCAAACGTGGCTCTAATACCATTTAAGTTTCTGAATAAACTTCTATATTCAATTGTATCTTATTTACGAAGAGTTCATCAGTTTATATAACCCTAAACCTATGACTGAAAAAGGAAATACAGCCAATTCACATATTTACACCATAATCTTTCCTATTTCCTAATTCCTAATTCCTAATATACACAGTCATGCCAAATTGAGAATATACACAATATATTCTCACAGTAGTATGCATGGTGGTGTGGTGGTTGTGGTGGCGACCGTGGTAGCAGTTGTGGTTGTGGTAGAAATAGAGTGGTGGTGGTGGCGATGGCAGTGGCAATAGGGTGGTGGAATGGGTGGTAGGAGAACTGAATGGTGGTAACAATTAAATAATAACATTTTTTTCAAGTGCCAACAAAAAAAATAATAATAAAATTTTATGATAATTCCATGATAGAATGGAATGGTCATTCCTTAGGTTGGAGCACAATATATTCTCACAGTAGTATGCATGGTGGTGTGGTGGTTGTGGTGGCGACCGTGGTAGCAGTTGTGGTTGTGGTAGAAATAGAGTGGTGGTGGTGGCGATGGCAGTGGCAATAGGGTGGTGGAATGGGTGGTAGGAGAACTGAATGGTGGTAACAGTTAAATAATAACATTTTTTTCAAGTGCCAACAAAAAAAATAATAATAAAAATTTATTATAATTCCATGATAGAATGGAATGGCCATTCCTTAGGTTGGAGGGAGGAATAGCATTCCCACATTTTGTTAGAATGGTCATTCCAATGGAATGACTATTCCCACTTAAATAAGGTGTACCAAACAAGGGAAAGGAAATGCAAAGCTAGAATGAACCAGTGTTTTTTAAGGCGAAAAGCGAACCGAGGCAACAAGGTCTCCTAACGCCTAAGTGCGAGGCGACGAGGCGAGACGAGGGCTTCATCGAATCGAGGCGACCAGAAAGGATATTTTTTTAAAATAAATGGCATAGACAAAAATATAAATATTTTCAGCATAAAGAAATTAAAGAACACATTTTAACAACATTAAAGAACATAAAAAAATTAAAATAGTTGAAATTAATTGAATTAATTGAATTAAAATAATTAATTGAATAACCAAGAAATTAAAATAACCAGGAAATTAATTGAATTAAAATAAACAAATTAATTGAATTAAACAAATTAATTGAATTAAAATAATTAATTGAATAACCAAGAAATTAATTGAATTAATTGCATTAAAATAAACAAATTAATTAAATTAATTGAATTAATTGAATTAAACAAATTAATTGAATTAAAATAATGAATTGAATAACCAGGAAATTAATTGAATTAATTGAAATTTTAGCACAGAAAAAAAATAATTGAATTAATTGAAAAAAAAAATTAATTTTAAAATAATTGAATTAATTTTAAAAATTAATTTTTGCATATTAATTTTTGCGAATTAAAAATTAATTTTAAAAAATAATTGAATTAATTTTAACACAGGGTTCGACAGTGTTCTTCAGTGAAGAAGAAGGAATGACTGGAACAAAGGAAGAACAGGGGGGAAGAAAGGGGGGGTCCGACAGTGAAGTCAAAGGGAAGAAAGGAGAAAGGAAGAAGAAGAAGAAAGGAAGAAGAAGGAACTCACCAGGTGAAGAAGAAGGAACGACTTCGGTATGCCTTTCAATGTCGATGAACGAAGTCGATCTAGGGTTTGGACTTCTTTTTTAGTATAAAACAATTATAAAACTAATTAACTTTGTCGATGAAGGGCCCAGATGATTCGAACGAAGTCGATGAAGTGCCAAATGATTCGAACTGAAATCAAGCAAAAATCTGGTGAAGCGTCGCTTCGTTTCGCCTCCCGCTTCATCGCCTAAGCCTCGCTTCAGGCGCTTCTCCATCGCCTCACCATTTCGCCTCGCCTCAGTGTGCCTGAAGCGCTAAAGCCTCGCCTCGCTTAGCGCTTAGGCTCGCATCTGATAACACTGGAATGAATATTCTATTCCAGCCCATTCCATCGTACCAAACGTGCTCTAAAGTATTTTCGTAAATAAATCTTATGGTTGGGCTGCTAAAGGAAAAAACAATTTTATACGACATACATAAGCAGAAATACACATACAAGTTACATATATGCATATACATGTGATGTTTGGCTCAGATTGGCACATGTTGGACACTACCTTTGCCATGCCCTGCCTGAACTCAAATCATTGAGGATTATTAGCCCAAGCTTAGATTGATGTTAAAGCACCAGTCCAAGGCCCCAAGGAGTTGGATTGAACTTGGCTTGTTCAGGTTCAACCCACCCAACTTGAAACAGTAAGGGTGTGGTGGGAAGTACCATTGACGAAGACAGTGACATCAATAAATAAGGTGAAAGAGCACCTCCCCAAATGAGAAAAGTAGGAACAAGAAAATAATAAATATCTAAAAGTGGAGCACACTGATGCATCTACACCAACAAAATTAATTGCAAAAAAAAAAAAATCAAAATCTCATAACTTTGACTGATGAAGAATCAAGTCTGAAATGGTTCTTCCATCTTTTTCTTCCTCTTTTTTTTTTTTTTTGGCCTTTTTCTACTCCAATCAACTTCAGAATGACTATGATGGAGGGGGAAAACCATGTGTGAGATTGGGAGAGAATGGTGGCTTACTTCTCCATTTGTATGCAGTATCCTAGTATTGTACCAACTCAACAACCACAGTAATACATAAATGAAGTTTAACGCACGTGTTAGAGAATGTAACAAAGTCAATAAAGCATCAGAAACAGATGGGGATATTAAAGAACAAAAACCTGAAAACCGAACACATATTCCAGAAGATCAAACATGTCCATATCCCGTGGTGCAGAGATTTGTGACCGAAGTTGGCCAAGCCTAGCAAAGTGTTCAGTATATTTAATCGCAGATATTGCACCTCTAACCTGAACAGATCACAAGGAGTATGTGAGAAATAAATTTTATTATTCGGCAAAAACAAAAATTTATAATACAGCCCAGATAACAGGTGAGGTTCTGTAATAAAATAAAATAGAAATAATAGCATGCTCACCATCTAATAAAAATGATACACAACAACCATGAATTAGTATCAACGACTCTTTGGAATAAACAATCATAGACAACACAAAACACTAAATGGAGGCAAAAATCAACTTATAACATTTTTTGTAAGCAAAAAATCAGCTTAGAATATATTAGTTATGCATACAAAAAGAGGATCAAAGCGGACAAAAAAGTATCACATAAAATTTCAAGTTTCACTTACTTCCGGAAAAAATGCAATAAAATCAGCTAAGAATATATTAGTTATGCATACGAAAAGAGGATCAAAGCGGACAAAAAAGTATCACATAAAATTTCAAGTTTCACTTACTTCCGGAAAAAATGCAATAGGATTTGTAATTGATAGTGCTTCCAAAGGAACAATATTGTACGGTGTGAGCTCCCCTGATAATGTTGCCTCTGAATTCTTTATCCTTCTTAGCTGAAACAAAAAATCAAAAAAAGGCTTTCAGTCAATTTTACTTTGCATGAGGATGTATTTAAAATATCAACATAATCTCTGCAAGGCAAAATAAATGTGCACAGCAACTAGGAGACAGTTTAGTACACAATGGTACTTGTGTTATACATGACAATGAGAACAACAAAAGAACCAGGAAAGCAGGGAAAAAAAACCAGGAGAGGGAAAAAAAACAGCAAAGAAGTACCTCCTCCCTTATAAGTCTTCCCACTCCATCAGGAGCTGCATCTTTGCTCAGCGCTTCCATCACATCAACCAGGGCCCTCAATGTAGCAAATACCTTTTTCATTTCTGAAGATCTGAATTCCAAGCTAAAACAAGAAGCAATGAAGAGATGAAGTTTTTTTTTTTTTTTATCAGCAACAAAGACAACTTTATTAAATAAAACAATGAACAAATGAAGATGTTAGTTTCTGTAAGAAGTAATCACTTGCATCGGAAAACTTGTTAATAAACTTCAAACTAACAAGTGATTGAACTTTTTGACATCTACACTAGCATTATCCAAACAGAAACTAATAAAAAATCCACAAATGATTTTAGTATATATTTGAACTGTGATAAAACCACAACAACTGGTTAATCATACAGAAACCAAGCTGAGGTATGGGAAGCAGAATTTAATTGCTGCTTTAATCATGGATACAACTCCGCCAGTGTCGCGCTTATTGTTTAATCATTTATACAACCCATCCCATGCCCGAATTTATGCCCAGGAGATCAACTATGGAAGCAATTTATTTACTAAGAAGATTAATAGAAAAGCACACACAGAAAAGGAGGGATCTACATATGGTTTTTATAGATCTAGAAAAAGCATATGGTAGGGTTCCTAAAGATATAATATGGTGAGTGTGGGAGAAAAGAAGGATGATAAAAGGCATGTATAATCCGTATTCTTACTTAATTTAGAATACACTTAAAAACTACAAAAATTCTGAAAAAAATATTTATAATATTCACTAAATACAAAAAATATATATATATATATATAAATTTAGTACATTTCCTTTTTCTTTTCTTTTCTTTTCTTTTTTCTTTTTTTTGTATTTATTGAACTTTGTTTAGATTTCTTTACAAATATTTTACTTTTTAAATGTATCTAGAGTAAGTTGATCTAAAAAGTATAAAAATTAAAAATTATATAAACAAAAAAAAAAAAGCTTATTAAAACATTTTTAAAAATCACAAGAAGCAAAAAAAAAACGATATAGGATTGCATCAAGGGTCTGTTTTAAGTCCTTACTTATTTGCCTTAGTCATGGATGAATTAACTAAACACATTCAAGATGACATCTCACGATGTATGTTGTTCACTACTGATATTGTTCTAGTAGATGAAACTAAAGAAGGAACTAAAACTAAGCTAGAAATTGAGAGAAAAGTGCCCGAGTAAAAAGAGTTTAAAATCAATCAAAATAAAACTGAATATATGGAATGTAGCTTTAGCAACAATAGAAGTAGAAAAAATGGAAAAGTGAAGATTGCAAAACCATGAGATAACAAATAGAGAATATTTTTATTATTTAAGCTCAATTATTAATAAAAATGGTGGGGTTGGAGATGATGTGATTCATAGAATAGAATCAAAGTAGGCTGGCACAAGTGGAGGAGTTCTTCTGGCATATTATGTGATCGACAAATACCAACTAAATTGAAAGAAAAATTTTATAAAGCCAGTGATGCTTTTACGAGACAAAGTGTTAGGCAACTAAAAAATAATATGTTCATAAAATGGGTGTTGCTGGATGAGAATGCTTAGATGAATGTGAGGTAAGACTAGAAAATATAGAGGCGTTGTTTGTCATCCAGTTAAAACAGGCACACTTTTTCCGAATTTTTTTGTATTTAGTATTCTTTTAAAATTTGTGTCAAATAATTGTACTTATATAGTATGTCTAGTGTAGAAGGATCTAAAAAGTAAGAAATGGAAGGAAAAAAAAAATCCAAAAAGTTCACTAAAGACAAAAAAAGGTAAAACCAAAAAAAAACTGTTTTGGCTTTTTTTGTGTTTAGTGAACTTTTTCCCATTTTTTTAACTTTTCTCATTCGTCTAGTCGAGTATAAATCTTTTTGAAAAATTTTAAAAAAAGTTTACTAAAGACGAATAAAACAAAAAAGCCAATCCCAAGCACCATCAAAATTCGAAATGAATATATCCGTGAAATAGTAGAAGTAGCACCTATAGAAAATAAGTTGAGAAATAACAAGTAAAGATGGTTTGTTCATCGACAACGAAGACCTATAGATGCAAAAGTAAGGAAGAGTGATAGGATCACCATAAACAGAGATGCTAGGGGAAGACCCAAGTTGACATGAGATACAGTAGTAAAAAAATATATATGAATTTATTTTAGCTGAACACATAGCCCTCAATAGAGTTGAATGGCGAAAACGTATTGTAGGCAACCCCACTTGATTGTAGGCAACAAACTTCGTAAACTTGGCAAAGAAAGCATGCATGCATCCTAATGTAACACGGTACCGTAGATAGCCTAGGATTGGCAATCCTATTCACAAAACCCACGTCCTAGTTGAGTTGTAATTTTGTTTCAAATGTTTTAAATGTTTTACTAGATATTTCATTTTTAAACTGCATTTTATTAAATGATTTCGGGTTCGAATTAAGTGTTCATGCAAGCTAGTTGAACTGAAAGACAAGACCAAAGCATAGACCAAAGTACAAGTTGTATAAAGCAGGATGAAGCAAATATTGAAACCAGTAGAAGGCTGCTCGAGAGCCCCTTAAAGCTCAAGCTAGAAAAAGACAATTTGCTCGATTTTGGTTCTAGAATTTAGAAGCTCAAGCGAGATTTTGGAAGCTCAAGCAAAAAGCGCTGATTTTGGGTTTCCTAATTCGTTTCAACTTGGAAAAACATGCCAAATTAGTCCTTTAAGTCAGCCTAAATCGATTCAACTATAAATATGAGCCTAGAAAAAATACCCACACACACACACAAACAAAACAAAACAAAACAAAACAAAAAAACAAAAAAAAACCCTTAGAGAACATTAAAAGAAGTCTCATTCTATTGTACTCGCCATTGATCTATCCCTAAGCATTCAACAATTAGAAACATCCATCGGTGGTTGTCTTCGTGGATTACAAGACACTGATGGATTGAGTTTAGATTGTGGTGGATTTCAGAGGTATAGTAGTGATTCAATACTCAATCAACCATTGAAGAACGTAAATCATGGATTCGATCAATACAATAAGCACACCCGCAAGCACGTAAATTTGACATTTGCAGCCCATGAATTTGGCTAGGGTTGGGCTATAAGTTGCAACTTCTATCGTGTTCTTGGTTGTAATGAATTAGTTGGTTTTCGTTTGGATTTTTCACATAAAAATTGTGTCTTGTGCGTTTGATTACATCTTTACTTTAACAATATGATTTATACGTATGAACTTGTATATTAATTAAGTAGCTAAATTAATTAATCACCATAAACCCTCTAAAACGTATTCAGAAAACTCGAGGTTTGAAATCAGAAAACAATAAGGGTCCATTTGGTTTAGTTTTTGAATCATGATTTGAAAAGAGAAAATTTATTTGGTTATGAGTTTTGAAAATAGTTTGATTGATTAATGTAAAGAATATGAGAGAATGTGAGAGGAGAGAGGAGAGAGAAAAAGTGATTGATTGATTGATTAATAATAATAAATAAATAAATAAAGAGAATAAAAGAGTGTTGAAAGTAATTTTGAGTTATATTTTAAAAATATGTTTAGTTAACATGTTTCATCCAAATCATGATTTAAAAACATAATTGAGTTTTGAAAAGTAAACCAAACGCTACCTAAATTTCTCACAATAACATATTGAAAATGACAACAATTTTAAAATGTATAATTTGCCAATAGGTGCATTGGTAAACAAGCCCTCAAACAATTCAATAACAAATGAAAGATTTAAAGATGTTAGTATTTGATATTTCCTTATGCTACTATTGAAAACTTGAGAGTTACCACAACGACAATCAAACATCTCGATGCTTCCTAATTTGTCAATGAAGATAGGGCAACACTGATAACCAGGAGCTTCATAATTTTGACAGGTTTTCTAGTTTCAAAATTAAAAATTTTGCGAGAAGAATACAACTTGAAGCTTTATCATTTAAGAAGGTTCTACTTTCTCCACTAAAAAAATTTGCAACTTGAATGCTTAACTTTAGCCTTCTTCTAGTGTACCCTTATATGATGTCGTTCACTTTTTATCATTGGTAAACAAGTAGGAATCAACACCAATACCAACCCTGGATGTTGGATATCCAAATGAATTAGCTCCGAAAGTCATTCAAATAAAGTAAGATATGCAACTTGCCTAGATTAATAATTGTTTGCCTAGAATGTAATTGTGAATTCAGTTGGGGGGGGTTTTCATAGTCATGAATTCAATTGTTTTCTGTTCACAGGCAAATAATTTATGCTAGTAATAATACATCTTAGTTATCATGATGAAATATGTGGAATAGCTACAAACATTGTAAGAAAATTTCTTACTGAAACAGCATCTTTTAAAATCCAATCCTGGGTTACCCCTACGATACCTCCAATTCCAGCTTCACCAGTGACTTAAAGAATATAAAGGACGAGCTCATACTTTCTAGATCTAAAACACTCCACTAAACTCTTTGTCAAAGTCCTATTCAGAGTTCTTATGAAGAAAAAAATTTGAAGTATACATTCAAAAAAAAATCTAAATTTTCAGTACCCAACAATTATGATGCATGAAATTAATATTCCTTCTCGAAAACATAAAGTCATGCTGAAAATATTATTGGGTATAAGCAACTAATTAGGATACAAGGAAACAAAACAAATAGCATGAGAAGGCCATACTCTCCCAGGTTAGTACTAAAAGTTCCGGATTCACGAAATTTTTGCTCCTCTCTTTGGATATCATCCACTCTGTGCCGTCGCTTATAAAGTTGATAAAATTCCCAAAAGCGTTCAATATCACGATTACGATCTATTCGAGTGCCATCCCTTTTGGCAAGTTTTTGCTGCACGACATGGCAAAATGACTCAATTTGTCATAGCGTCAATCAAAACTTATAATCATACAACAAGACATAAGTCTATTTAATATGTTTATAAAAAAATCAAGATTTTCGTTTTAGATCCAACAAGTACCACATCAAAAATAAAACCAATCACAATACCTTGATTACAGACATCAAGCCAGTCTTAAACTGAAGTACACCTCTACCGTCGCTATTGGGGTCCAAAGTTTGTGCCATGGTATATGCCTGCTCACAAACTAATATCCAGAAGGAAAAAATAATATAAATGTCAGACATACCCATCAAATTTATCAATGTTGAAGCAGTATGATCATTCTATCATATACTGCAACTAGTGTATGTGCATAATCCCAACAATATGCTACTGCCTCTTCACTTAATTAGCCTTTAATCACAACAATATACTGTCTCTTCACTTCAGACCCACGATGACATGGGAAGTTTTGTGTTGGTGCAAACACAGTCATAATCATGTAAAGCCCAACTCTCTTATCATGCCATTGTGAGTCAATTTTAGGACTTAAATTGTGGTTCTCTAGCATTTCCCATAAGTGTTTATATATCTATACTTCTATACTGTTATATAAGGCCTGGAACTGAGTTGGGGTAGACTGTCACTTTTGTTAGTTATCCCAAAATACCCTCATGTAACTGCCTATAACTTCTTGCCTCTTCTGACTGCCAGATCAAATTCAAATCAAAATTGTATTTTCTTGCAATTTTAACAGCACATACTACTAGCCACAAATGAACCGAGCTATTCATGAACGGCTCAAACCCGACTCTCGTTTGAGTTCAATTCATTTACCAAATGAACAAGCTAAGCTCGATATTTATAATATATATATCAAAACAATTTTCATTAATTTATTTTATTTTTCTATTTATGTTTAGTATTCGTGTAAATTTACGTAATTGATTAATAAAATTTATTATTAATATAAGCATTATTTTACATTTTGCTGATAAATTTCTCTTTTTGATCTTAAGTTGGAGCTCGGTTCATGTAATCCTAGTTCACTCAAGCCGAGTCGAGTTTCTCAAATACTTAACGAGCCTACTTAAGCTCGACTTGATCTGGTACTCTAATTCTTAGTAACCCGTGAAATATCAAAATGAAATAGTGGAAACACAAACAACAAGAATGGAAGACACTTACGAATTCGAGCAACATTGGGGTCCTCGGATTGAATCTCGTCGGCAGCTTGCAAGATCAAGTCGATGTTGGTGGCCCGGGTGAGCGAAGGCGGGACCGAACCGGCGATCCCGCTAGGGGCTCTCTCGTGTCCTTTACCCGCATGTCGTTGCTTCTCTCTCTGCAAAGTCGCTCGCACCAGCCGATCCCAATTCTCTGATGGCCTCACCATCCCTTCTCCGAGGGTTTAAACAAAACCTAGCTCTGTTCGAATTGAGAGTTTGGATGTGCAGATCTGTGAGAGAGGGTGGTGAAAGAGGGGGGGTCGATTAGGGTTTTACAGTGATGTTGTTGTTGTTGATGTTGATGATGACTTGGTTGTTAAGGTGGTGAGGCGAAGAAACGCGTCGTCGACATTGCGTGCAAAGCTCGGGGGATCTGGGGGGAAAGCGATGGGTTCTGAATGCAAGATGAGTTGTGAGATGAGGTCAAATTCAAAGCTTTGGTTACGTTTGCCGTCAACCAAAACGTAGGGCTGTCTAGGGCTCGTTTTTTTTTTTTTTTTTTTTTTTCAGACTTCCTGATTTTTTTTAGGGAAATGATTTGGAGCTCTAAAAAAAGCCTTCCTTAATCCCCTATTTTCTAAAACCACGTCGTTTTGGAGATTTTTTTTTTTTTTTTTTTTTTTTGGTCTCAATTTTCGGGAGATTAGTTTTTTTTTTTTTTTCTTGGTCTCAATTTTCGGGAGATTAAGGCTCCCCAAATTAGGGGATGTAGCCCGGCCCTTTTTTTTAAGGACTGGGCTAAAGACGGAAGGGTTGTTTGGAATGACCTAAATAAGTGTATATTTTGTCTTTTTATGAAAAGATGTGCAGAAAAGTAGGGAAGTAATGTGATGAAAAAAGATAAAAAAATGAATTATTTTTGAGTTATCGAACTTACCCTGAAGTCGGAAGGGAGGTCCCTGAGCCTATTGGACCTATTTTTTTGAATCCGCTTAAATAATTTACATCATTCATATTTTACAATTCGTTAAATATATTATTTTTATAAAAAGAATTAAATTGATTCGATAATAGCAAAATAAACATTTCATACAACAATGATCCGAACGCTTGATTGTCGTTATCCGATCGACTTGATTTTTTGCATGAATGGTGTACTCGATAAACTCGAAAATGTTAACGGTTCAAATAAGAGATGGTCATTTTTCCCTACCCCACATCTCCTGCCCTGTCCCAATTAAGAAATGGGGCGGGAATGGGTTTTGCTTCCCCGCCTTGATTATATTTATTAAATATATTTATAATCTGTTTATTTTTCATTATGGTAAAGTTAAAACACTAAAATATTATACTTAATATTAATTTGGGTAAATTACATTGACACCCCCTGAGATTTATATATATTACAGTTTCCTCCTCACCTTTTGGAAATTACATCCCCCTCCTTGAGTTTTAAAGTTTCATTATAGATTATTCCCTCCAACAATTTAATTTTTTTAAATACCAATTTTGCCCTCACTGGGTAAATTACATCGACACCTTTCACATTTTAGAAATTACAATCCTCTCCCCAAGGTTTAAAGTAGCATTACCAATTGCCCCCTTGGTTAGTATTAGTTGGGAAAAAAAAATCATTGAAAAAAAAATAATTGGAAAAAAAATTAGTTGAAAAAAAATTTGTTAATCAAATTTTTAAATTTTTGTTTAAAAACCAAAGTAAGATAAAAATTACACTGACACCCCTTAAGGTTTATGTTTATTACACTAGGAAGATAAAAATTATATAAAAATGATAATTATTGTTTATTTTTTATTTCTTAACCAAATTAATTTTTAATTTTTCAAAAAAAAATTCTAAAAATCAAATCATACATAGCGAATCTTTTGATAAGTCATTTCTTACGTTGGTATTTTATTTAATTATTTGTTAATTTTACGACATTTTTATCATCTAATGCCTATTTGGTAATCATTTCGTTTTCAGTTTTCAATTTATATTTACAAAAAGAAAAATGATTTGGACCTCTAAAAAAACACCTCTAATACACCTCTAATTTGTCTTTTTCTTCCCCTATTTTTGTCTTTTACTTCACTGTTTTTTTTTTTATTCCCGGACAGCTCATTAGAGCTGTACGGAATGACCTCTAATTAGAGGTCTGTAGCAAGATTGCTACAAAAATTCAAAAAACTATCATAAAAACTTGTTTGATAATTTTTTTATTTTATAAATGGTTGTCCCAGTTTGTAAATTTGAGGAAAAAACGTAAATTCAAAAAATGAGTTTACGTTGGTTTTTAAATAGAAATTTAAAAATTTGACTAACACAAATTTTTTTCAATTAATTTTTTTTCCAATTAATTTTTTTTCAATGAATTTTTTTTTTCAACTAATACTAACCGAGAGAGCAATTGGTAATGCTATTTTAAACTTTGGGGAGGGGATTATAATTTCTAAAATGTGAGGGGTGTCAATATAACTTACCTAGTGAGGGCAAAATTGGTATTTAAAAAAATTAAATTGCTGGAGGGAGCAATTTGTAATGAAACTTTAAATCTCACGAAGGGGGATGTAATTTCCAAAAGATGAGGGGAAAACTGTAATAAACATAAACCTCAGGGAGTGTCAATGTAATTTACCCTATTAATTTTTATTCATTTATTTTATATGTTAAATAATATAATTCTCATTAAGTACAAATTATTATTCGTATTATATTATATTGTCAATAATTTTTCAACTTATAAAATTAACCTGTCCCGCTTCCGCCACTCCTAATTTTTCTTACCCCCAATGTGATATAGGGCGAGGGTGAATTTCTATAAATCCGTCACAAACTAACTCATAACCATCCCTTGTTTAAATCATCAAAATGAAACTCAAAAGTTGGCCTAATAAGCCCAACAACACCTCTCTATTCCAATTAAGGGCTGGAAATAAACTCAATGCTTTTTTTAATAACCATTCTTTATAAAGGTGTTAGGTAATTGTTTATTTGTTGTTTTTTATATATAAAATATGATATGACGTCAAAAAAAATTGTGTTTTAAAATTTGACCGTTGATCTTTGGACATGTGTCACACAGGTGGCTTAGATGGTGACAATGAGTCCAGATCCTCTGGGGCGTTTTTCCTTGTAGTGTTTGTGCAGTGCACCAAAACAATACACCCCCCCTTTCGGCGCCAAAAAAAAAAGTGAAGAAGAATAACACATATTACAGCTCTGGGATTTCACATCTAGCGACCCTCACAACCTCATTCCTTCCCTTCCCATTTTTTCATCTATGCTCTATTTGCTACCAACACCACTCTCGCACCACCATTTGAAAACCTTGTCTTCCTTCTTTTTTCTCATTCTCCTTCTCCACCCCCTCTACCTCAGCTCCAGCTGCCACCACAGCACCCTCGCACCACCACGATCTGAAAACCATCTATTCGTTTTTATTCCCTTATATTTTCCTCTCCCAACCCCTCTGGCTACCACTGATATTGCCCTAGCACCACCATCACCCCCAAATCCTAGATCTAAGGTTTTTGCCAAACCGTTTCACTTCCATTGCCGCCGCCTGTGTGAAATCGATCGAGAGAGATAAAGAGGAGTAATAGAGAAGCCACCTATGCGAAATCGATTGAGAGAGAGATAAACTAAGAGTAGAGAAGATGATGATGACGATGACGATGACGATCCCTCAAGCCCGTGTTTCTCTTTATCTTGATCTCTTGCTAGTGGGTCTTCTCTCCACTACTCTACTTTTACGTATCTTCCTCTATTTTTTAGGGGGGTATGCACAAAAACAACGTTGTTGTTGTTGTTAGAACAATTCATCTTGAATTCTTCAGTTGGTAATCTTGTCTATGTACAACATAAATTTGGTGCTTCAAGTCGCTGTAGACACTTCATTTTTTACTGTCCTTATGACTTGGAAGTCACCACTTGCACACCCAATGATGAGTGTATATGCTTGTCAAGTACTCAGAGTCCTCAGCGGAATGCCACAACTTCGAGCCTTTCAAAGCCTACACACATTTTGCCTTGTTTTGGACCACAACTATAGATTTTCAATCCTGTAACCTCTTGGGCTCTGTCGACCACTACAATTGGCTGCCAGCCACAGCTTTTGGCTGCCGGCCAGCGTTAGTGGCCTGCCGGTCACAAGTGTGTTTTGCAGATATTTTTCTGCCAGTTGTGCCAACTGTTGGCACAAATGCATACACATTCTTACACGTGTATGTATTGATATTTATGAGGGAGTGTGATGTTTTTCTATATATAGAGGACCTCCCCTCTTTACAATTCTCTTTCTCTTTCGTAAATTTCCTAACCTTTTGCCTATCCACTCTAAACCAAACCTTACCATCTTGGAGATGAGGTATTTTTTAGTTTCTTTGAGCTCTTGAGGTGTGATTGTGTTGAATTGTTGCTTGGAAGTGTTCTCCTCTTCAAGAGGTATCAGGCTTGATTTGTTTCATTGTTTTGCGTGCTATTTTTCTACTATTTTTCCTATTGTTTTTCTATTGTTTTGGGGCTATTTAAGCTCTGTAATTTTGGGCTGAAACTTATGGTTTAAGGCCTTAAAGGATGGAGGGGTGGTTCATCTCTCTTTCCATCTCGCTTCTCTAGCCTTTACCCTTGTGTTTCCTACCTTTACACTATCTTTTTTGAGCTTTTAAAAATACTGATTTTCAGTGGCTAAAATGTTGTTTTGAAGTCTAAAATTGGAGGGGTTGGCCTCCCCTCCTTGTGTCTTGCTTACTAGCCTAGCATGCTATATGTTTTAACTTATTGTTCTAGCTATTTTTGTCCTAATTCCAGCATGTTTTAGGACTTATTTAGCATTGTTTTAAGACTATTTTTAAGTGTTCATTGCATTTGAGCCTTGTATTGCATGATTATGGTGTAATAGTCCTCATAGATTTAGTGGTTTAGGTCTTACCACCCAACCTATTTGAATTGATAGCACTTATTTATGGCTTTCCATACTTGTGATCACCTTTAAAAGTTGGTTTTTGCTTTTACTTTTGCTTTGCTTTAAAAGTTGGTTCAAACTAGTTACTTGTTTAAAGCATGAGATTGAGGTCTTGTGCTTAATGGTTTAATCCCTTTGGGGGTTCATTACCAACGGCATGAAACTTCTCTCATGTCTAAAACAACTCTTGGTTTGATGTTTCTTTCCATTAGAGGACTTAAAGCTCACATTTGGACTTAATGTACTAAGGAATGGTTGGTAATTAAAATGAAGTAAAATTGAGGACTAAAAAAGTAATGCAAGATAATAACTTGGTTGGGTTCAATCGGACGTTAATTGAACCATTGAGTCTGGAATCGTTTCATACTTACTAATGATGTAAACGATTCAAGAGTCGTTATTAACCACTTCTCTTGATCAATCCATGATAGAGAGAAGGTTTAATAGTCTTTATTCGTTGCATTTATTGAACTTGTACCATTTGGTTCATAGGCCATCATGCAATGAAATTGCATCAATTGATGGTTTGTAAATCAAATTTTGTCACTCCTTTG